CGTAGAAGGGAAATAATAAAATAATAAAACTAAAACATTTTTAAATAATTCTCACGACGTTTCGGCCACAACGCAAGCAGCCGTCCTCAGGTGAAGAACAGGTCTGTCGGAAAGACAGCGTCTCATTCAGACAGCGTCTCATTCAGACGCTGTCTTTCCGACAGACCTGTTCTTCACCTGAGGACGGCTGCTTGCGTTGTGGCCGAAACGTCGTGAGAATTATTTTATTATGTTTTAGTTTTATTATTTTATTATTTCCCTTCTACGTGACTTTACCGAAATAACCAAGAAGATGAATCCCTGCAGTCACGAAAGCTTTAAATGCTCAAAAGTTTGTTTGGTAAAAATAGAAAAGTCTTTCCGAGTTGCTGCTCCACGTTTCAGCTTGGTCTCATCCCCCCGCCCCCCACTCTACTTCCATTATTCAACCAAAACACAAGTCAAGTTCCTGGTAAGCTCCAACATATCCCCGACGCCTCGTGCTACCACCGAAAGTTTCCATTGCAGACCCGCCCATCTGTGATATCAACAGCTTCGTAGCTCATCAGATTCCTCCATGCAGTCTAAATCAAGATGCTGATGCTCGATTCGCGTGCGTTCATGCCACTAAACTATAGGCGCGGCCGTGCGCCTGTACCTAACGTTCCAAATGACACTTTGCAACCTGCGTTTCGTTTAACACCCGTTTAATATTACTCGTTTGTGAGTCGTGACGAATCCCTTAGGGACCCAGCTGCTGTATAGGCAAAGACAAAGATCCCCTGTATAGCCTTAACAGACTGTCGGGGCAAGTGCTGTTAGCGAGCTGTATAGGCACTCCTCTACTGACGAACAATCGACTTACGAACTTTCAGAGGTACGGACAAACCCGTCCGTATGTCCAGTTGCCTGTTCGGACCGAGAGTCGCAAGTTATAGATGGCGGTGGTGGCATCTACATCTGCTGAACGTGAAGAACCAGTGGCATCTACATCTGCTGAACGTGATGAACCAGTGGCATCTACGTCTGCAGAACGTGAAGAACCAGTGGCATCTACATCTGCTGAACGTGATGAACCAGTGGCATCTACGTCTGCAGAACGTGATGAACCAGTGGCATCTACGTCTGCAGAACGTGATGAACCAGTGGCATCTACGTCTGCTGAACGTGATGCACCAGTGGCATCTACATCTGCTGAACGTGATGAACCAGTGGCATCTACATCTGCTGAACGTGATGAACCAGTGGCATATACATCTGCTGAACGTGATGAACCAGTGGCATCTACATCTGCTGAACGTGATGAACCAGTGGCATCTACGTCTGCAGAACGTGAATAACCAGTGGCATCTACATATACAGAACATGAAGAACCAGTGGCATCTACATATACAGAACATGAAGAACCAGTGGCATCTACATATACAGAACATGAAGAACCAGTGACATCTACATATACAGAACATGAAGAACCAGTGACATCTACATATACAGAACATGAAGAACCAGTGGCATCTACATATACAGAACGTGAAGAACCAGTGACATCTACATATACAGAACATGAAAAACCAGTGACATCTACATATACAGAACATGAAGAACCAGTGGCATCTACATATACAGAACATGAAGAACCAGTGGCATCTACATATACAGAACATGAAAACCAGTGACATCTACATATACAGAACATGAAGAACCAGTGGCATCTACATATACAGAACATGAAGAACCAGTGGCATCTACATATACAGAACATGAAAAACCAGTGACATCTACATATACAGAACATGAAGAACCAGTGGCATCTACATATACAGAACATGAAGAACCAGTGGTATCTACATATACAGAACATGAAAAACCAGTGACATCTACATATACAGAACATGAAGAACCAGTGGCATCTACATATACAGAACATGAAGAACCAGTGGCATCTACATATACAGAACATGAAAAACCAGTGACATCTACATATACAGAACATGAAGAACCAGTGGCATCTACATATACAGAACATGAAGAACCAGTGGCATCTACATATACAGAACATGAAGAACCAGTGGCATCTACATATACAGAACGTGAAGAACCAGTGACATCTACATATACAGAACATGAAAAACCAGTGACATCTACATATACAGAACATGAAGAACCAGTGGCATCTACATATACAGAACATGAAGAACCAGTGGCATCTACATATACAGAACATGAAAAACCAGTGACATCTACATATACAGAACATGAAGAACCAGTGGCATCTACATATACAGAACATGAAGAACCAGTGGTATCTACATATACAGAACATGAAGAACCAGTGGCATCTAAATATACAGAACGTGAAGAACCAGTGGCATCTACATATACAGAACATGAAAAACCAGTGACATCTACATATACAGAACATGAAGAACCAGTGGCATCTACATATACAGAACATGAAGAACCAGTGGCATCTACATATACAGAACATGAAGAACCAGTGGCATCTACATATACAGAACATGAAGAACCAGTGGCATCTACATATACAGAACATGAAGAACCAGTGGCATCTACAGAACATGAATAACTAGTGGCATCTACATATACAGAACGTGATGAACCAGTGGCATCTACATATACAGAACGTGAAGAACCAGTGACATCTACATATACAGAACATGAAGAACCAGTGGCATCTACATATACAGAACATAAAGAACCAGTGGCATCTACATATACAGAACATGAAGAACCAGTGACATCTACATATACAGAACATGAAGAACCAGTGACATCTACATATACAGAACATGAAGAACCAGTGGCATCGACATATACAGAACATGAAGAACCAGTGGCATCTACATATACAGAACATGAAGAACCAGTGACATCTACATATACAGAACATGAAGAACCAGTGGTATCTACATATACAGAACGTGATGAACCAGTGGCATCTACGTCTGCAGAACGTGAAGAACCAGTGGCATCTACATATACAGGAGGTTAAGAGGTTATACAACATTTAAAAGCCATTCCCCGTGTTTCGTGTACACGCCGTACATGTTTCGAATCAAGGGGTGTCAAGTGGGACTTACGTGTCTCTCTCTCTCTCTCATCATCACTACGGGAGCTAGGAGATGTTAACTACCTCGCCTGGTATACAAGAGTTCGCGGGTTCGATCCCGACTCCTGACACCTGCTGCTGCATATTTCGAGTTCGCGTGTCTCTCTCGCCGTGGTCACGTGGATCTTTATCCGGGTCATCCGGTTTATCTCCTCCACGGCGTTCCGCGTCTAACACTATTTGCCGACTTGCTGTAAAATCTCCACGTGCCGACGAGGAGTCAATTCGTAGAGCCGCTATCGTTCGTGACAGCCAAACTCGCGTCTGTAAAAGAAGCAGCTTCGTGGGGGGCTTTACCTGGTGAAAAAAAAATTAACCCGTAAAAACAAAGTTTTTCACTATAAATCCTTTATATGCGTGGCGGCTGGAGTCCTCTCGTCCTCTGGCTTGAGATGGCTGCCACCTATATTAAGCAATTGGTAATTAAATATAATGTATTTTTTCCTAAAAAGTGTAAAAATTTTGGAGAAAAAAAATTTCACGAAAATAAATTGTCACGCACAACGAGTCTGTGTGCAAAATGTCAGCTCGATTGGATCACGGGAAGTGGGTTATAAAACGACCGAAAGATTTGCACGGTCGTAAGCAAGCAAGTGAACTTAATATAAAGGATTTAAAAAGTTTATAGTTTACCCTTAAACAACCTCAACCCCTCCCCCCTCCTTCTATCACGAACACGCGATCGACCAATTACAGCCAGCCCTTGAACACCGCCGGGTTGATCTTCTTGGTTCTTTCGGTAAAGTCACGTAGAAGGGAAGACAGCGTCTTCCCGACAGACCTGTTCTCCACCTGAGGACGGCTGCTTGCATTGTGGGCGAAACGTCGTGCGAATTATTGTATTATGTTTAAATTTTTATTACTTTATTATTTCCCTTCTACGTGACTTTACCGAAAGAACCAAGAAGATGAATCCCTGCAGTCACGAACGCTTTAAATCGAAAAATACCGCCGGGTTGATTTCATCTCCATCCGGTCGACGTCTTCCTCCGCTCGCACGCTGCGTTCCCTCCCTTGGGCTTTCGTTCCGTTATTTGTCTCGACCATCGTCCACATCGGCATCACCATCGTCGTCCCGCCCAAGTTCCACTCAAAACTAAAACTATATGCACGATAGCCCCCCCCCACCCCCCTAACTATGGCCGCGTTCTCGAATAAGCCACGTGCCCACCCCCCTCTCAGTGAAAGCCCCAAGCTGACACAGACCCACAGACCTCCCTTCCCCCCGTGGGCTTCACCTCGCGTGCGCGTTCTTTCTGCTCGCTCGGAGTTTCCCCATTTTGAATGCATTTACGAACCGTCTTAGCTGGGACAGCTCCAGGCATGCCAGTCGTTCGCTTGTCCCCACGATTCCCCTACTGTGCCCTGCCAATGTCCGTGCGTGTCAACCAGAGGTCGCAACCGGGTACCCGATACCCGTACCCTACCCGATACCCGGCTACCCGGCCGGGTACAGGTACCCGTTTGCGACCCTGGTGCGGCCGGGGACGGGTACGGGTAGGCCGTGAGTCACTTGTGAGTCACCGTTTGTCACTCATTTCGGGTAGGGTACGGGTAGGATACGGCTACCTGTACCCGCCCGGGTACGGGTAACCATTTGCGACCCTGGTGCGGCCGGGTACGGGTAGGATACGGCTACCTGTACCCGGCCGGGTACAGGTAGCCGTTTGCGACCCTGGTGCGGCTGGGTACGGGTAGGATACGGCTACCTGTACCCGGCCGGGTACAGGTAGCCGTTTGCGACCCTGGTGCGGCTGGGTACGGGTAGGATACGGCTACCTGTACCCGGCCGGGTACAGGTAGCCGTTTGCGACCCTGGTGCGGCCGGGTACGGGTAAGGAATCAAAACCCGTTTGCGACGTCTGGTGTCGACTGCGCAAGTGTGCCTTACCTTTGGTTCCAGAGATCGCTCGCAGTCGGATTCAAGTCGCCCGCGTGCGCGCGCGTGTCTCTCTACACAAGCGGCGTCCGACACGCCGAGTGACACGTCGACCCGAATCGCCGTGGAAAAGTTGTCGAAGCCACCGCGTGGCACCAGGGCGATGCCGAAATAAATGATTCAGCCCAGCGGTTGGCGTCCCACGCATTCGGCTGCCGAGTTAGCAAGCGACACGCTCGCAACTCACTTTTGTTTGCGAAGGGAGCGCCGACTGATCGACCGTCGGCGTTTCTGCTCCAACGTCCGTCTCGCGTGTGAGCTGTGCGTTTGATGTTTTATAGATGGTGGAGGTGAGTCGGTGGGTGGGTGGGTCAGAATGCTTTAAGCATGAGGGACCGCCCCATCACCTCATGCTATATCTGACTTGTTGATGCAACGGCGCTGTAATTCCGGTGGCTACATCCTCTACGATCATTATCACTATCAGTAACAACCATCATCACTATCAGTACAACCACCATCATCATCATCATCGCTACCATCATTATTACTCGTGTCATTGTTATCACCACCACCAACCATCATCATTACCATCATCACCACGACCATCATCATCACTACCATCGTCACTGTTAGTACAACCAAAGCGAACACCACCATCATCGGCACAACTACAAGTATCACAGCCATCATAATCATAACCACCAGCACCACCTCCATCATCATCGTCATCACATCACCACTACCACCAAAACCACCTCCATCATCATCATCAACACCACCACCAACACCACCAAAACCACCTCCTCCATCATCATCACCACCACTTTAATTACTACCAACATCACAACCACTTTCATCACCACCACCACGAGTACAACCACACAACAGCAACGTCACCGCCCCTGAGTAGCGGTGACGTCACCACGACGCTTGTACCAGGCTAGGTGCACTTTGAGGCCACGTGAAGTGGTCGAAAGCTCATGGGACAGACCCAGGTGCCATCATCACCATCATCACCGCCGCCACTATCACCACCACCATCATCAGCACGTCTATCAACCACCAACATCAACCAGTCTCATCCGGCAACCAGTCTCAATCCGGGGCACACACAGATAAAGACAAAGATCCCCCGTATAGCCTTAACAGACTGTAGGGACAAGTGCTGTTAGCGAGCACCTATGAAGGCCGGAACGGTACACGAACGAGGGGGTGGGTGGCCAGCACCACGCCCGACCGCCTTTGTCTCCCTAGCGGCGATGTTTACACACCGCACCAGGTACTCATTTGAGGCTGAGTCGACCTAGGGGAGGCCCGGGACCGGTTCAGATAATCGTCACTGGTGTTAGCCGTGAGCGGGAATCGAGACCCGGGTCGCCAGGTTCATAGCGCAGCGCGCTAAACGCTACACTACCGCTCTCTATTATACACACACACACAGATACACACACACAGATACACACACACATACAGACACACACATACAGACACACACATACAGACACACACACACATACAGACACACACATACAGACACACACACAGACACACACACACATACAGACACACACACATACAGACACACACACACATACAGACACACACATACATACACACACACATACAGACACACACATACAGACACACACACACATACAGACACACACACATACAGACACACACACAGACACACACACACATACAGACACACACACACATACAGACACACACACACAGACAGACACACACATACAGTCACACACACACATACAGACACACACACATACAGACACACACACACACAAGAGGCAGACAGAGTAACAATAATGCAAAGCGCCTCGACACGTTCAGAGTACGTTACATTATCGCCACCAAGCAGGCGATTCCCACGTGTAGCTACCCACGATCGTGGCGGTTTGGTGCGGGCCAGGAACCACGGCCCGGCCGCCTTTGTCTCCCCAGACACAAAGGCCGCGATGTGCGCGATGAAAAGGGGGCATCGCGGAAGGCGCCTCTTACTCGTTTTAAGGCTGAGTCGACCGCGGGGCGAAACTGCCAGACCGCTTCGGCAATAATTCCTCGAACGATCGTGGCTTTGCATAGAATGACATGATCCGGCAGCCGCTAGAGGCCGCTACGTCGCGAACGAGGGACAGGCGGGGTGGGTAGGGGGGATGAAAAATCCATACATAACTATACAAAGACAAAGATCCCACCCCCAACCGTATAGCCTCAACAGACTGTTGGGGCAAGTGCTGTTGGTAGCGAGTAGCGCCAATAAAGGCCGGCACACCGCACCGCACCAGAGTAGTCATTTCAGGCTGAGTCGACCTAGGGGGGGGAGAGCCCAGGACCGGTTCAGATAACCTCGCACTCCCCCACCCCCCCTCCCCCACTCATTATCGATAATCGTAGATCAGCGGAACCCCCCCCCCCCCACGACCAACACCGCCACCCCCCATTGAGAGGGCGTGCGAGACGTCTTCAACGGTGACGCATTCCGCACTCGAGGTGCCTCGGGGTGCCGGCAGAGTGGCTCCAGTGACCCCGGGGACCCAGTGCCCCATCTCACCCAGTTCCCCCCCCCTCCCTCGCCGTCGTTCACCCATTGGCGACGATAAACATCTCAGCGCGTGCCGAAGAGATTCCACCGAGTTCATCGGGGGAGGGGGGTGGAGGAGGGGGGGTGGGGGAAGGAGGCTGCTGCTGTTTGCTGCTGCGTGTGTCAGAGTGAGTGTGCGTGCTTTTGAACTCGCGTGTGTGTGTGTTCGTGTTAGTGTGTGTGTGTCAGTGTGTGGAGACAAAGGCGGTCGGGCGTGGTGCTGGCCACCCACCCCCTCGTGTACCGTTCCGGCCTTCATAGGTGCTCGCTAACAGCACTTGCCCCTACAGTCTGTTAAGGCTATATGGGGGATCTTTTGTGTGTTAGTGTGTGTTAGTAAGTAGTGGGGAGCGGTGGTGTAGCGGTTAGCGCGCTGCGTTACGAACCTGGCGACCCGGGTTTGATTCCCGCTCACGGCCAACACCCAGTGACGATTATCTGAACCGGTCCTGGGCCTCCCCTAGGTCGACTCAGCCTCAAATGAGTACCTGGTGCGATGTGTAAACATTGCCACTGGAGAGACAAAGGCGGCCGGGCGTGGTGTTGGCCACCCACCCCCTCGTGTGCTGTGCTGGCCTTTATAGGTGCTTGCTAACAGCACTTGCCCCTACAGTCTGTTAAGGCTATACGGGGGATCTTTGTTAGTGTTATTTTCTTTAGACGTGGGCTCGCCTTCCCATCAACCGGAGGCGAGGAGTGGTGGTCTTGGTGACTTATGCCCCCAAGACCGTTGAGTCAGATGCCTTTTATGACCTCCTGTCACAGGTGCTGGCTAAAGTGGCCCCTCGGGATAGAGTCATCTTGGTGGGGTGACTTCAATGCCCGAGTTGGTCATGATGCTGGCACCTAGTCTGGAGTGATTGGAAGGCATGGGCCATATCAGCTCAATAACAACGGTAGGAGGCTGCTAGATTTTTGTGCAGCCCATGGGCTTGTAACACGCTGGTCCGGCGTCGGCGCATCCATACAGCATCATGGATGCATGCCGGGTCCAAGCAAGAACATCTGCTGGACTATATATTGACATACCAGCGGATGCAAGCCCATGTCATTGACACCAGGACCTACTGTGGAGCTGATCTGCCCTCTGACCATCAACTTGTCATCTGTAAGATGCGCTTGCCATTTTTCCACTCCGGTGGTGGGTGTACACCCACGAACCAATTCCAACCAAAGGTTGCCTGGTCTGAGCTAGCTGATGGAAATTTCAAGCGAGAATTTCATCATCGCTTGCGGCTGGGGTTGGCATCTTTCCCCACTCCTCCTGATGTCGAGGGTAGATGGGCGAGGTTTAGGACTGTGACTAATGCAGCTGCAATGGCTGCTTTGGGAACGCGGTCCAGACCTCCCCAGAGACCCTGGCTGACAGAGGAGGTGTTCAGGATGGTTGAGAAAAAGTGACATGCCCACACTCATCGATTACAGCATCCCACGTCAGAGAATGAGGAGGCTTACCGCAGCCTTCGCTCGGAGGTTCGGAGAGCCGTTAGGCGCTGCAAGGATGGGTGGTGGTCGCGGGTTGCTGAGGAGATGGAGTCTGCCTCAATGGCCCGCGATCACAAATCCCTATTTAACTCCATCAAAAAAGTAACCTGCTGTGCCACACCTATTATCATCATTAGGGGAAAGAACGGTGATCCAATCCCCGACCCCCAGGAACAGGTTTGCTGTGCATTCCTGTGAGGTCCTGGGGGAGGGGGAATCCCTCGGCCTGGAAAACCTCATGGGACAAAGTGGGGATGACCCTGCTGAGGCTGCGGTGCCGCAAATATTGGAGGAGGAAGTCACCCCCTGTGAGTGGCTGTCTGAGGTGCCATCTGTTGAGGAAGTACTGAAAGCGATCCAGAGTTTGAGACCAGGAAAGGCACCGGGCAGAGATGATCTCCCAAGCGAAATGCTGAGGGAGGGTGGCATTTGTGCACAGAATGCCCTACATGACATCATAACAACAGTTTGGGCCACTGGACGGGTTCCGCAGGATTAGAAGGATGCCCTGGTGGTCCCCCTCTTTAAGAAGGGGGACCCCACACAGACTGTAACAACTACAGTGGCATCTCACTATTCAGTGTGCCGGGAAAGGTCCTGGCAAGGATTATTCAACTAAGCACCTGCCTGGGTATTTTGTACCATCGGGCAACCCACCAAAACAACTCCCAATCGGTGATGGGGCAGTTGTGGAGAGTAGAGAGTTTCCCATACCTGGGCAGTGTGCTCATGACTGGCTCCGGTTTGACAGCAGAGGTCTCACTCAGAATCAGTCAAGTGGTATTATCTTTTCATCGGTTGCGTAACGCTGTGTGGAAGCTACCTGGTCTGTCGCTCCGCACGAAGCCTCAAGTCTTCTCGGCCATCCCTTCTCTACGCTTGCGAAACGTCGACCCCCCTAATGGAGCATCTTCGCAGATTGGAAACATTTAGGCTGGCCTGCCTAAGATCCATCCTGGGTTTAAGCAGGGTGGATTGTGTGAGGAGCTCACAAATCCCAGAAATATCTGGGGAAAGTCCCATCGGTGAACTCCTCCGGCAGGCAAGGCTGCGTTGGCTGGGTCATATAGCTTGTATGCCCAGCCACCGCATGCCTAACCAGCTTTTGTTCGGCCGAATAGAGGGGGCTAAACGAGCGCGGCACAGGCTAGAAAAGATATGGAATGACGTGGTACAGGAGGATGTGGAGCTGAGTGGACTTGCCAATGACTGGTACCAGCGGTGTCAAGATCGGCCTC